GGTATTTGCCGCTAAACAACACCACAAGTGTGAATCCGAGTGAATTGGGACATTTTTTTCCCTAGTCTTCTCAATGGCAAAAGCGTCCCATTTGACCTGAATTCACTCCAAGGTAGCCCCGCTAAAAACTAGGCCTATAAATGTTATATATTAAAAAAAGAGCTTACATTCCACTGAGCAATATCCACAGGGCCGCTGCTGGCCAAATGGGTGCCCTAAGCAGAATAGCATTGTTGTGAAAAAAAAAACCCTACTATAAAGGGTCAAAATAGAACTTTAATAAAATATAAAACTAAATAAATAAATAGTAATTAAATTGGATTATTTATAAATGACAATTGTAGCTCTAGACAGTTACCTATGGCTATAATTGTATTAATACCGTTGTCTGATTGATTTTATAGTCTCAAGCATTCAGAAATCACAGAAAATAAAATTAATTAGTTTTACTATGATAAAACCATGGTTAATTTTGGTAAGGGTTGTGAGATTTCCTCATTTTATTGCCTCATTGTTTTTATATAATACATTTTAAGTCATGAAAACTAGAATATTAAGTCAGATGCGTTGTTGTTAGTGGTGGTGAAATTATTACCGACATTAAAACACGTTACTGAAGTCAACAGTCAAAAAAGTTTCACAGGATTATGATTATGAACGTAGTTACCTGAAAGTAATGCACGGGCTTCATCTTGTTTTTTTTTCTTCTTTTCTCTGCGCCGGACTGCGCTGATGTCTTTTCCCTGATATAGTCTAGTTGTCCATTAATTATGATGATCATTTATATTCAGCCGCAAACATGAGGTGAGAGCGAGCGCGAGCGCGGGCGCAGATGCGGGAATGGCTTGTCACTTGTGCTTATACTGCCTACACTGTGTTCATCATAAAATGCATTTTTTATAATTATATATATATATATAATACATACAGTCATAGTCAAAAATATTGGCACCCTTGGTAAATATGATCAAAGAAGGCTGTGAAAAAAAATCACAAAAATCTAACCTTTCATTGGATAATAAGAATTTAAAATGGGGGGAAATATCATATGAAATAAATGTTTTGTGCCCAGTGACCCATTTTTGTGTTGTTTTTAAGGTCTGTTTTTGGATTATTGTACGGTTGGAAGATCCAAACATGGCCCATTATAAGATTTCTAACAGAGTCAGTCACTTATTGATTTTTTATCTGTTGGTATTTGATAGAATCCATGGTGCCATGTGTCTAAACAAGATGTCCAGGACCTCCAGTAGAAATATAGGCCCACAACATCAAAAATACAGCAGTATATTTCATTGTACACATGGGGTACTTTTTATCCCTGTGTGCACCAAACCCATCTTGAGTGTTTGCTGCTAAAAAGCTCATTTTTGAGTTTCATCTGACCACAGAAGCCAGTCCCATTTGAAGTTCCAGTCGAGTCTGATAACTGAATATGCTGGAGTTTGTTTTTGGATGAGCTAGGAGAATTTTTCTTGAAACCCTCCCAAACAACATGTGGTGATGTAGGTGCTGACAATTTTTTTTAAGGTTTTCTGACCCTGAGACTCCAGCTGTGGTCTTTGGATGGTCCTTGGAGAGTCTTTAGCCACTCAAACTCTCCTCCTCACCGTGCATTAGGACGACATAGACACATGTCCTCTTCCAGGCAGATTTGTAACATTTTATGTTGATTGGAAATTCTTCATTATTGCCCTGATGGTGGAAATGGGAATTTTCACTGCTCTAGCTCTTTTCTTAAAGCCACTTCACTAATTTGTGAAGCTCAATTATCTTTTGCTGCACATCAGAAATATATTCTTTGCTTTTTCTCATTGTGATGGATGATTAAGGCAATTTGGGCTTTGTTTTCCCTCCTATTTATATTTCTGTGAAACAGGAAGCCATGGCTGGATAATTTCATGTTCATAATCACCCTGGAGTGCTCAAAATTGTGAATATGAATGGGAATATACTTCAGAGATGTTTTACTCATAAGAATTTCTAGGGGTGCCAATAATTGTGTCCAACGTGTATTTGAGAAAAACATTTATTTCATAATGATATTTCCCCCCATTTTAAATTCTTATCCAATGAAAGGTTAGATTTTTTCAAATAAAAGATCAAAAGGATTAACAATGCAGATTAATTTTCACAGCCTTCTTTGATCATATTTACCAAGGGTGCCGATATTTTTGGCCATGACTGTATGTTAATGTTTAGATTTTTATTTATGTATATGTATATGTTAATATTAATATAGAACCCAGTGTTTCTTACATCACTAAGGTTTTAAATTAATAATGATATCTAATAAATATCTTCCCATCATGACAATATTGCAAAAAATAAACCGTTTTGTGTGCATATTGTTTGTGTATTTTGTAATACATGTCAAGACAAATAAAATTTCAAGAATTTATTCTTTGTTCATCGTATGTATGCACATATAATGTTTATACATACAGTACAACATATTCACAAAATGAGGGTGGCATGACAGATCACTAAACAGAATCAGAACCGTATAAAATAAACCCTAAATAGATAAGACAAATAAATAAATAAATAATAGTATAAATCATATATATATATATATATATATATATAGGACTCATATTGTGTCTGCATGCTTACAGGAACATCCTCATCATTGTTTTCTTGTACAAACAATATAGACTAAAATAAGAACAAGGGGCTTTGATACTGTACACGAGCTCACGAGGCTACTTGACTTCAACCAACAGAAAAAAAATTAAAAGATTGTGTTAACCAATAAAATCAGGAAGCACTTTTATAGACTCTCTCTCACACACACACACACACACACACACACACACACACACAAACCTATTTACCATAAAGACACATACATTCTTTAAAACACAATCAGACTCACACCTGTGTGCACTGAACACGCAAACACGCTCACAAAAACACGCGTAAAACATCACCACTGGGAGACCCTGAATTTGCTGCACTCACTTCACCTCTGTCTTTTCCTGAGAGTTTAATGCTAGTTTAGCTCACCTGACACGACCTATCAGGCAGTCACACGGTCCTCTCAGAGTCACAACCATTTTGAGTACAAAGCTTACAAAAAACTTCCCTGTGCCCCAACACAGTATTAAAACACATCAAATTAAGTCACTGAAATTGCTACTGGAAAGACATAATCTCGTGAACAATGATGAAAAGCTTGCATTTTATTAAAACTCCCCTTCTAGTGTCACTTTTTTGCAGTCGTCTCATTGAAGTACCTCGACTTGTCTACATAAAAACCCACAGAAGGCCCCAAATCTATGTTAGAAAAATGATTAGTAAGTTTATTTGTATTTTATACACTAAAGAATATAATAATGTGCCTAAATGTCCCACGTATGACTAAAGAGGATTTAAAATAAGAAGAACTGTTCAAGAGTGGCCATTGATAAGCGTTCACAATAGCAAGCATCAGAATGGCAAGAAACAGAAATGGCTACAGAATAGTGAAAGCATCTTTTCATTAGCAGTGCATCAGTTTTACAGAATCTCTACATCAAAATAATGTAGTAATATTAGAATTTCTTATGAGTATTGCTTTTAGCTTAAAATACCCTGTTATGTGGTCATCATTTTCCAATTGTGCGACAAAAAAAAAAAGGGCAGGGATAGAAGCGGGTTTTCTCTTCTGAGAAAACAGAAATGCTAAAAGACAACAGAATACAGTATTTCCTAGAGGGACTGAGAGAGAGAGGGTTTATCTACTTCACATGGCTAGGAACATAATTCACTATGACCACATCTCTTAGATCATCAGATTAAGACAGTGTGTGAAAGAGAAAGACAGATGGAACTGTCTGAAGTACTGGACTGGAGAAGTAAAACATTAAACCTGTTATAACATTCCTTCAACTCTTAAGGAAAAAGATACAGACAGATTATATTACAAACACCCAGCCTGTTCCACTCAGAGTGAATGCGCTTATGTTTATTATTTGTGTTAAGTCTGTGTAGAACTGTTAAATGATAAAGTATATACGTGTGTATATGCTCATATTTATCTACACGGTGAATGAGAGAGGTTGTTATGCACGTGTGCATGTGTAACCATGTCTATTATGTGTTTACAAACAAACTGTATGTAATCACACATACATAAAAATGAAAAAGAGGATATATAAAGTGGCTGAGCTCCAAATAGTGCGTGTGAATGATCTAGTCATAGATCTTATTCAGGGTAGAAATATTGATTTTGACACAAATAAAAGCGTGGCTGTGAGGGACAGTTCTGCTGTATATCCAGCAGTATATAATTACACACTGCAAAAGTCATATTCTTGATGAGATGAGAATTTTTGTCATATTTTCTAGTAAAACTATATAGAAATCTTTGAAACAAGATGAATTGAGAAGCAAGACTGCATAAGACATAATGTATCTTTAATACTAGCATACTTTGTGTAAAAGCACTGGCATATTCTTTCACTTTTTCACCAGATTTTAAGTGTAAACATCTTTAAAACAAGTGAAAAAATTAGCCAGTGTTCAAGGACAAAAAAGCTTGGGGCAAGTTATTTTTTCTTTTCTTTTTTTTTTCTGAAAGAAATTAATATTTTTATTCAGCAAGGATGCCTTAAATTGATCCAAAGTGAGAGTTAAGTCATCTGTAGCGTTACAAAAGATTCGATTTCAAATAAATTCTGCTTTTGTAACTTTCGATTTGCCTAAGAATTCTTCAAAAAACATTTTTTTCTTGGGGAGCAAATCAGCATATTAGAATGATTTCTGAAGGATCATGTGACACTGAAGACTGGAGTAATGACTGCTGAAAATTCAGCGTTGCCATCACAGAAATAAATGAATTTTAAAATATATTAAATTAGAAAGCAGTTATTTTAAATTGTAATAATATTTCACAATATTACTGTTTTAATTGTATTTTTGATCAAACAAATGCAGCCTTGGTGAGCATAAGAGATCGGTAGTATATATTCAAGACTAACTATGAAAACAATTCTTAATATTTTATGCAGTGCTGCTTCTCAAAAAAAAAAAAATCTGAATATTCATACTGAAAAAAGTACAAAACTAATGTCCCTCGATAATTTCCAACACTGGACGTTCAGGACGTACTGATTTTCAGAAACCCTGAAATAGTTTTCCCAAAAAAACAGCCTCGTTTTCATTTGTGTAAAATTAAACAAGTCATTTGTCCTGAAGTCTTAAGGGTCATAGAAATATGATTTAGATCTATCTTGGATGTCATTTGTTTTAGTAATGAAAGGTCAAATTACTACTACTGTGCTATCATGGTGCTGGTGTATGTCGCTCCTAATATACAGTGATCTTAGCATCAGGCAAATATAGATCTGTGTGACGTGTTGTGCTCGCGGTGGATTTCTGCACTTGGGCGTTCGTGTGTGAGTGTGTTTTGGCATTTGGCAGTTTCATAATCTGGTCTGGGCCTCAGGTATATAGATCTCGATGCTGTCTGCGCTCTCTGTGGCCGAGTTCTGCCGTACCGAAGCGGCTCGTTTGGCCGCCATCAAACGCTTGCGTGCCTCCTGACGCTGCTTCTCTGTGCTTTCCAGCGAGCGATCTCTGGCCAGGGGAGGGTGGCCTTTCGGGGGTTTCTTTGGCACTGGGGGAGGCAGCCTTCTCTCCTGAACAGGGATGACAAACAGTCAGTTAGCCGCCGCAGCGGGAGGAGAAAGACGAGCGGAGACAGCAATATGGCACACCTGCACACAGACAGCGCTAAGGCCAGCCGCGGCTAACATTACGGAGCGGTGCTAACGCTTCCGCGGCCGACTGCGTGCGGTAAGAGAGCGCCCCGGCGGGGGTGAGAGATTGGGGGCCGCTGCCCCCATGGTGCGTGCCGGATGGAATGACTTCTGAAAACAGCTCACTGTCAAACAAACAAACAAACAAAGCAAACATGAAGAGGATGTCAGGAAATTAAGAGTGAATGAAACATTCACAGTCACATTAGACCAACAGACTCACATGAGCCGCAGGGAGACAACAGCAACACGTCAAATATATTAAATAATATTGTGGATTTTGGAGGATTGTTATTGCCAGTGCCCACACTTGAATACTTAATATCACACTACAGAAGCAACAGACCATGCACATGAATGAAAAAACAAAACAAAAACGCAACGTTGCCCTGCGATCAGGCAGCTAGCATGTCTGCATTCTTATTCTTCTTCTGTCAATGACTCTGTACTGATTCTACAAGTTTGTTGTACCTTTCTCTCGGGGGGGTCGAGGGGTCTCCAGTTGTTGGCTTTGAGCTGGTGAAGCTCATCGAACTTTAAGCTGATATTCTCAATGGAAAGTTGAAGCATGTCCCAGAACCCTGCGAGATCTTGAGCCACTGGCCGTGGGTGAGCGTTTGGGTCCTGTTAAGCCAAGAGAAGGAACAAAAGTGGAACTATAAGAATTAGCTGTGCTGTCTAAACATCTGATAGGCCTCGATGGATCTGTTTTCTCTGGAGCTGGTGTGTCCATCCTGGTATTGTGCTTGCAAAGGTGCAAAGGAACCCACAGTTCCATTCGTTTCCAAAGATTCACAGCCTTGAAGATACACTACTGTTCAAAAGCTTGGGGTTGCATGTATTTTACTAAAAATGCAGTAATAAAGTTATATTGTGAAATATTACAATTTAAAATAAGTTTTTCTATTTTTGTTAATATATGTATTTAAAGTGTAATTTATTTATGTGATTACAAAGGTGAATTTGTAGCAGTCAGTCTTTTTTGATGAATTAGATAAATAGAAAGTTCAAAAGAACAGCATTTTTTAAAAATATAAATCTATTTTATCATTATAAATTTCTTGACTGTCACTTTTTTGATCAATTGAATGCATCCTTGCTGAATAAAAGTATTAATTTCTTTAAAGAGAAAACTCTTACTGACCCCAAAGTTCTGAACCACAGTCAAGTCACCTATATTTCTATAGCACTTTTTTTTTTTTACAATACCGACTGTTTCAAAGCAGATTCACAGTAATAAACAGGAAAATAGCAGAATCACTTCCTCATGCTGTAAAGCAGCACTAAAAAGACAATAGCATGATTACTTAGCTCAAGTTGCTTCAGTTGAGTTCAATAACAGTGTAAAGTTAATCAATTTCAAAACAGCTATAAACAGTTGTAAACAGTGTCTTACTCACCTCAAGTCAGTTCAATGCTGCTTCAATTGACAGTATAAGTTGATTCGGTCAAATAAACGTTTACTACATCATTCCTACTAGTACTCACCAGATTTTCCTCACACAATTCCCTGAACTGCTGAAACTTCTGGGACATAAGCAGCTGTGCGCTTCCCACTGCACTGCGGATCTTCCCCAGGACTGAACATCACACACAAAAACGAAACAGGTGAGCATCAGAAACAGCCCTAGAGCAATAGAAAAGTAGAATTCTGCTCCTTCTGAGACTTGAAAAAAAAAACATCTATTAAGCTCTATTATGATTATTAAAATTAGGAGAGCCTACAGATATAGGTTTGATGTCATGAAAACACTGTGAGGACCAGGACGTCCAGCAGGGGGCAGATTACTTCAATGCAGATGAAATTAATTCAATAAAAAGTTGTTGCATTTTTGCATGTGCCATTTCAGCAAAAATTTCTGCATCCTTTATCATCCATATTTAATTTGCTGTAAATTAATACAGCTTAAAAAGTCATTATTTTCACATGCCTATTGGGCACTAAAACAATACACAGAACACAAAACTAACTAGAATGTTAACAAAAGGTATTTTACTTTCTTTAAAGACGGTTGGCCTACTAGAAGACTTCATTATGGGTAAACCAAACACTAACTTTCATCAGGTAGCTTGTTCTCCTTCTCATCGTGCGCCATCTGCCTGCACCAGCCCTCCATACGTTCAGTCTCTGCCTGCAGCAGCTTCAGGAACCAGCGGCCGTCACGCTGACACACTGAGCGGCCCACGACTTCCAAGGGATCTTCCGTTACGCTATCGATCCAAGGGTCAGGTGGAGGCAGGATGGAGGGATCAAAGCCAACGTCCTCATACTCATCTGAGGTGCAGGCGTGGTAGTGATTCCCTGAGCCCTGGATGCTGACGGTGGAGGTGGCTGCATCACGCGAGTACTGCCGTGACAAGCAGCCTGAGGAGGGGAAATCTGTGACAGGAGAGTCAGCTGGCGTGTAGTCCGGAGTGTCCAGATCAGCCTGTACCGCTGCCGTCACGCTGTTTGAGCGCTTGAACCGCCGGTGACTGAGCCCATGAAAAAAAAAAAGAAAGAAAGTTTTCATTCAAATGTAGATAAAAACACAACTCATACATACAGTGACCGCACACTCTTCTATGAAGAAAATGGTTTCAATTTCTGTGTTAATATTAATTTAGCTATTTTGGAGGACATAAACCATTATCATTATTATACAGAAATCATTATTTAAATATAATGATTCAATAAAACTATGAAAATTATTTTATTATTTTAAGTTTTTTTCATTATCATGTCCAAGTATTCTTATATGCCACTGACTCATAAGCAGTAGTCACAGGTTCTGTCTACATAGACATCATGTATACCACAAAATGAACTTGTTTGAGATGCTCTTGTTGGCACAAACATCATTAACAGCCATTAATTTGGCAGACAAATTGCAGCACTCAAGTGACCTGCAAAAGAGACTCATTTAAAGCACACAGCTAGTGAAAATTTAATAAAATGATGTAGCAAACATGATGCATCTTTTAAAGCTTATTTCCTGTCAACACTTTTCAGTAATGAAATAATAAACATTTAAACTCTCCTTTAGTTGAGGGATTGCCTTATCGAAAGCCCCCCACCCCCTCAAAAAAACCCATGTAGTGGTACTTCAAATTTAGGCAAAAATTAGGCCGCATAATCTGTTGTCTACAATTTGCGACATCAGGAGCATGTCTTTGGTGCCTAAAAATACTGTCTAGCTAGGCAGTTTTGAGAAGAGCCATAGTGTGTCAGCTTTAGTGCTCTGGGATAATCCTGTCCCTGCTCAATAAGTTTAATAAAGTGAAAGTGTCTCCATAATACAGAGTTTCTTAATCCTTGATTTTAATGCACTCTCTCGCCATATGCAGCATGCAATATAACAGCTGAAGAGGATAAACAATACTTTTCAGAAAGCAACAATATGAACTTTGAACCACTGCATTCATCTGTAGATTGAAGCAATTTGATAAAACACACAGATCAGACACATTTTAGACCAAGATAATTAATTGAGAGGAAATGGAGCAGTAACGGACACAAAGAGCAGATGATGACGGGACTTGTTATTGTTAATTTTGGATTTTTTGGAAACTGTTGATGTAACAGTCAGCATAATGACCCATAACTGCAATGTTGTAGCCAAGTATAAAAGAATGGAGTCACCAAATGTGAAATATTTTATTTTCGTTTGTTAAGAAAAAATCAATATTGACCACTAATATGAATATTGTGGGAATCCTCAATGTCTATGATTGTTTCAGCCCTGAATCATTGGATGCTAATTTAACAAACAGCACAGATTTACGGTGTTAGATATACTTTTTTTTGAGAGAGAGAAATTACTTTAGCACATTTATTTATCAAGGATGCATAAATAAATGCTGTTCAACATTCTAATCATCAAAAAACCTAAAAAAAAAGATTTCCACAAAAATATTAAGCAGCACAACTGTTTTAACATTGATAATAGTAAGAAATGTTTCTTGAGCACCAAATCAGCATATTAGAAAGATTTCTGAAGGATCACGTGACACTGAAAACTGGAGTGATGGCTAAAGAAAATTCAGATTTGCCAACACAGGAATACATTACATTTTATATATACTTCAATAAAAAGCTATTTATAAATAGTAAATATATTTTATAGTATTACTAAAGTGAAAGTGACTCTATTTGTTCCTAAACCAGTTGTTTTATGGGCACACAAGCACACACAGACTCACCCGTGCTCTTCAACCTGAATCCCCACTGACTGAAACTTGGACTGGTCCTCCAGTTCCTGGTCCTCAGGCCCATCCACCTGTTTAAACACATCACACAGTAAACCTGCCACCTCCACAGTCATTTGAAGAATCATCTACCTCAGGGAGAAGTAAACAAATCTCCAGCTCACCCTGTGTGGGTTTGTCTACAGAAATAAAAAGACCAGCTCGGGAAACACTGAACTTGTATGAATATATATTTTGTGTACAGACACCTGATAAACACATTATAGTGGATATTACAACGAAATCTTGTTCTAATAGCCAGCAGGAACATCTCAGCAGCATTGAGGAGATGAATAAACAATGAGAACAACTCTGAATCTCACTCACCTGGATGCCAATAGAAAGGCACCTGCTCTTCCTGAGCACATCCCTGCGGACGTCTTCCAGGGTCGGTATGGGTATGGGGACGGGCACAGGCATGGGCATGGGCAGCGGAGAGGGAGGGGTAGTGCTGATAGTGACGGTGCTGTTGCAGACGTGTTGACTGACAGGGCCGTGGATCTGAGCGTTGGCCGCCTCGATGGCTGCCGTCAGCGCTTTCATGCTGTCAATGCTCTCGGTGGAATTGCTCAGGCCAGAGTGGAGGACGGGCTCGCCCCGCGTCCCGGGACCGTCCATGTAAGCGTCCTGCGCAGACTCAGTGCTGCTCTGGGCCGTGATGGAGATGAAGGGCTTGGTGGAGGTGCGAGGAGGTACCGGCGGAGGAGTCTTCTTGTAGGTGGTGATACATGATGATACTGTAGCGAGAAAAGTACACTTATTCATTTCTCAGATGCTTTTATCCACTCGAACTTACAAATATAGATGCATGACAAACGTATGTAAACAGTAAAGAGTAAAAGATTAGAATGGAAACAGGTATAAGGACAAAAAACTTTTATATTAAGTGTCAGGATACATTTACTAATTCACCATGGCTGTCTCCAAAAAAACAAAAATCACAATTGACCACTAATTTGAATATTGTGGGCATCCTCAATGTCTATGATGGTTTCAGCCCTGAATCACTGGATGCTAACAGCACAGATTAACAGTGTTAGATACACTACTTTTTTTTTTGAGAGAGAGAGAGAAATAAGTTATCAATCATTATCCATGAATTTTTATGCATATTAAACAAAAGAGAAAGGACATTTATAATGTTGCAAAAGATTTATATTTTTTCTATTCTATTCTAAAACAAACAAACAAACTAAAAAATCACTACACTTTAAAAGTTTGGGGTTGGTATGATGTTTTTGAAAAAGTCTCATGCCCACCAAAGCTGCATTTATTTGATAAAAAATACATAAATAGTTGTATCTCGGCCAAATATTGTCCTATCCTAACAAAGCATGCATCAATGGAAAGCTTATTTATTCAGGCAAGCTTATGTCTTTGGCAAGGCGCACGTATTTCTAAAAATGGACCCTTATGACTGGTTTTGTGGTCCAGGATAGAGTTTGTGTCACTTATATAAGGATATTATCTGCTCTCTTGTAAGCACGTTTGCTAGTATTGAAATGTAAACAATTACTAAAACTCAAATTTTAGTAAACTATAGAGTAACAAAAGCAGTATTTTCCTGGAACCAACAGATGGTTTATCAGATCCATCACCATTCAGACAAGTTTTTGGCCCATCTCCACGTCATAGCTTGCCCTCGCTTCCCATCATGCTGCTTGTTACAGCGGCCTACTTAATTATGTTTTATTAACAAGGTTCGGGAGGAGCGCGTCAGATACTTAACCTAATTAACACAGGTGGAGCGCACTCAAGTTAATCAACACCTTGATATAAATACAGCTGACTTACCTCTATCCATTGACGGTTTATCAGCATTCGGTTTGCACCTTTTGCCATTATATCTCAGACTCAGCTTCTCCCATCTAAACGACGAGACCTATACTGGGGATTTTTTCGGTTCTCCGGGCAAACTGCCAGCCCAGGATTGCTCGTTCTCTGCCAGACACTGCGGATCTGTACTATCAAAGTTATTCGTCTCCCAGCAATCAGACAACTTCACTCCCAAATCTACTCCAGCAGAGCAGCCAATATTTCGAGCAAAGTTCACAAGGCCCCGAACTCGCCTCGCTCGAAATTTTTCTGAGCATTGGATTCCCTTACAGATGCTGCAAGAGCGCTCCCGGTGGAGCAAATATGTTTCTCCATCGACTACTGGCGAGGCTCACCCAATCTGATGCCGTGAGTATTGAATTCCCATCAGATGCATTGTCCGTGCCGTGAGTATCGAACTCCCGTCGAATGCCGCAAGAGCCTTCCGGTCAAGCAAATCTTGGCCTTTCCATCTGACTACCGGCGAAGCATGCCCGTCCGATCGACAGCTCTGTCTGGTGCAGGGTTGCCAGGTTTTCGCTACAAAACCCGCCCAATTACTACTCAAAACTAGTCTGAAAATAGCCCAATTGCTTTCGAGGGGGTCCCCCAGTGAAATTCGCGTTCGGGGGGTAAAACACAAATTTTTCGGCGGGGTTCTCCTGGTGCAATTCACATTCCATTGCCGACAGCTCCAGATATTTAGCATGCCAAATATTTCACGGGTCAGCATCTTCGATAATTCACACGGTGTGATTGCCACTCACGTGAACAAGCACCGATTTGCCTCCGATTTCAGGCATTTGTCTGCGATTTTCGCGAAACCTGTCGGCGAGTGAAAACTCCCGTCTTACGTTCGGAGAGGCTTACCCGTTCGATGCCGTGAGTATTGAGCTCCCGTCGGACGTCGGCGAGAGCCTCCCGGCTAGACAACCTTACCTTTTCCATTCTATGGTCAGCGAGGCTTACCCATTCGATGCTGTGTGCTCCCGTCGGATGTTGGCGAGAGCCTCCTGGCCAGACAACTTTACCTTTCCGTCTTACGTTCGGAGAGGCTTACCCGTTCGATGCCGTGAGTATTGAGCTCCCGTCGGACGTCGGCGAGAGCCTCCCGGCTAGACAACCTTACCTTTTCCATTCTATGGTCAGCGAGGCTTACCCATTCGATGCTGTGTGCTCCCGTCGGATGTTGGCGAGAGCCTCCTGGCCAGACAACTTTACCTTTCCGTCTTACGTTCGGAGAGGCTTACCCGTTCGATGCCGTGAGTATTGAGCTCCCGTCGGACGTCGGCGAGAGCCTCCCGGCTAGACAACCTTACCTTTTCCATTCTATGGTCAGCGAGGCTTACCCATTCGATGCTGTGTGCTCCCGTCGGATGTTGGCGAGAGCCTCCTGGCCAGACAACTTTACCTTTCCGTCTTACGTTCGGAGAGGCTTACCCGTTCGATGCCGTGAGTATTGAGCTCCCGTCGGACGTCGGCGAGAGCCTCCCAGCTAGACAACCTTAACTTTTCCATCCTACGGTCAGCGAGGCTTACCCGTTCGATGCCGTGAGTATTGAGCTCTCGTCGGACGTCGGCAAGAGTCTCCCGGCCACATAACTTTACTTTCCGTTCGACGGTTGGCGAGGCTTAGCCGTCCGACGCCATGAGTCTCGACCTCCCGCCGAACGCTGTCAGAACCCTCTGGACAGCACGCCAAATATGCATTACCATACTTCAGCTAATTATATGTAAGCGTGAACTCGTGAATACTATAATAAAAGCATGGGTCATTTTTGTAGTGGAAAAACATGACTCGTGTTCAGTATTAGGATTTTTAGTAATCAGTGTTGAGTACCACTGTAACGTTAACCCTGCCTGCTTTAAATGTTTCAAAATAATTAAAATTTGAAAACAATAGAAATTTAGAAAAGTAATCAAAAAGTAATCAAGTGAAATCAGTTACATTACTTTAATAAAGTAACTGAAACAGTTACATATTACATTTTACATAGGGTAACTTGTAATCTGTAACCTATTACATTTCCAAAGTAACCTTCCCAACACTGTATATATGTATATGTATATAAATATGTATATATGTATATATAAGGGGTGTAACGGTACACAAATATGACGGTTCGGTACGTACCTCAGTTTTAACGTCACGGTTTGGTATGATTTCAGTACAGCAGGGGGAAAAAACTAAACTTCTTTTTTTTTTTTTTAAATCAACAGTGGTTTACTGAACAAGCTGCTCTTTCTTTAAATACATTGTTATAATTAAAATGTTCTTCTACCTCAGTTTATGCTTTAAACTATAGGGAGCCCTTTTACATTATAAGGTTACAATTAACTTAACCCAAACTTAAATTTAATTACTATTTATTTTTAAATATAATAACCAACACTCAACTTAAAAAAAAAAATGTATGCAAACATGTAAATTGCACATTATGCAGTTTTTAAATGAACTTGTTAAAATATATTCAATTACATAGAGGCTGTCATAACATGTTTCATAACAGATTAATTTAAACATACTTTAAATAAACATACATTAAATAATTAAGACTAACAGATAAAGTAAAATATAATGAGTATTTAATGTAATATTTCGCGAAATGCTCTTCTCTAGACTTCATTTCTCTGGTGAACTAACGAGCTGTGGACACTGATGACTTGCTGAGGTAAATGAAATGCTGCGTGACATTTTGTTTACAAGCTGTTTTGTTGACGTCTTTCCGCGGTTGAAACACTGATTGAGCAATTACATGAGATGCTCCTTCATGTTTATTCGCGTTAAAACTAGTAGTACAGAGGAAGAAATGATCACGTTCACTGGCGCTCCGCTCTGCCGTTAGAAAGGACCCCATTTACACTGCACAAGTCTGCAGCGCGTTACGGCTCAGACACGGGAACCGGTGTTGTGCCGAATTCTGCACCCCTGCCAGATTATGCACCCCCTCGTTGTAGTCGCTACCTGATTGCCTAATACTAACCCCACCCCCACACCTACTCCTAAACCTAACAATACTAGGTGGGTGCATAATCTGGCAGGGTGCAAATTTCGGCACTACACCAGAGCTGATCGCGGCCGCTCTAGTCAATGTTTGTGCCAGCACGTTTCTGAACTGTACCAGAAGCGGCTCTCCGAGGCGTTTATACTGCGATCTGTCATGCCACATCCAAGACTGTCAAAAACGCCATTTATTGTTTGAATTTCCAGAAAAAAAAATTCTGTATTTGTTCGGTACAAAAATTTTCGTTACAAATACATGTACCGTTACACCCCTAATATATTTAAACAATTTGCAATTAACTTTTTTTTAATCAATTTAATGTATTCTCGCTGAATAAAAGAATGGATTTCTTTATCTATCAATCAATCAATCAATCAATCAATCAATCAGTCAATCAGTCAAGCAATCATATCTATTTTGAATGGTAGTGTAAGTGTGTGCATAAGTAATTAAAATCCTTTACTTAAAAGCTTAACCCCAACTACTATATGAAGCAGTTACAGCAAGATACTAGCAAACAGTAGCGGTTTTTGGCACGGGCGAACCGGGCAGCCACCCGGGGCGGCATTTTTTCATGATACATGGGGGGCGGCACGAGCAGTTAAAAAAAAAATTCCTCTGTGCCGCCGCCGCGAAGCGGTTTTCTATTATCTATCATTTCACTGTGTGGGGAATTGGCAAATTGGCGTCCCTGCTTGCTGAGAAGGTGCTGTGCACAGAAGCTGTGTGAGAAGGGGAAAGGGGAGCGGCGCGCGGCGCGGGGGACAGTTGACCTCTGGGTCTCTCCCAAATGGAACGGACGGGGGGAGGGGGGGGATCCACTGTATAGAGCAATACTCTAATGGAATTAGTGGGCTAAAGTCAGTCACACCTCGACTTTCTTCCAAATAACGCACATTTCATTCATAATATTATAAATACAGGCCTATAGTTCCTGCACATTTTTGTTTTTCTGAATTGTGTGAAATGGCTAATAAAAATAGGTAATACAAAACGATTATGTGGTCACCAAGGTGAATTGGTTTAGTCTTGACTTCTGGTCGTGAGTGACAGTGTTGGGGGGATGGGAAATCTGTTGATTGTCGAGTGCCAAATAAACACAGAGATGGACAGGAAAAGGTCAAAGCCATCAGGTGCCCAATTTAGAAAAAAAAGAAAAGAAGAGGAGAAACGAGCAAAAGATAAAGGTATGCAACTATGTTCTCTCTGTATGATTATTACGGTATCCATGTCATGAATGAAGGGCTAATGTTAATTGGTGGGTATAACTCTTAAGTTTGTTAGCCTTTTTGCTATGATGCTTGCTATGCTTATACAACAATAATTTGGTTTTAACTCAACAAACACGAGATCTAATTTCACCATAATATTGTGCTTTGCAACAAAACTGTTACAAGTTCAGTTATTATTTATTTCCATCAGTTGGGTTAACGTTAGGCCCTGTAATTAGCCAACGGAATTTTCAAATCTGTGTAATTATAATTTAAATCGGACTACT